ATGGTGAACCTGCTGTGGATAATTATCCAGATGTTCTGAAGTTAGTACTTCAATCAGTTTTAAGCTATCGCTTATGGATTTATAGCAAGAAAAACTTTATCAAATGTGATTTATTTATCGAAAAATAAATCGGTTTATTTTCCATTGCAGGTTTGCAACAAAGAACAGTGGTGTTCTTTACGAAGATTCGACAATCCAAATTGGATATAAATTAGAAACCCGAGCTAACCTTGCACGCTTAGGAATGTTTTACGGCAATAAAACGAATTATTCATTCATTGATTTTAGTCCAAGTCTGTTTTGTTCCGGAATACTGAGCAGTCAACTCATTGCGCAGGTATTATTTTTATGGATTTGTCGTGGTAAATTTAGTGATTCTGTTACGGTAAGTGTCTTACTAAAAAAATTATTAGTGAATTTAGATTACGTAATATGGTTTGTTTCACTGATGAAAATCATCCAGAACTATGGCTTTAATTTTGCTGCCTACTAAACTCTTGCACACCTGAATTCATTGCTCTAAAAGTATCAACAAAACCGTTCTTAACCCTGCAATTACCGATACAAAAGTTGATCAAAGCATTTTGTGGTATTTTTTTTTGCTTGAATGTGCAGTATGAAGAATACTGTGGAAATTACTTTTTGATAACAAGATGCACTTTCCCCTGAGAGGAAATTCTTATTACAGTGCAAAGCAGTAGATAGTATCATCACGGGTGGATCACAAGTGCAACAGTTGATCAATTTTGTATGTGAGCAAGAATTTCACCGTTGTCCCCTTCTTCACCTCATTTTCACTTTTTCGTAAGTCTTCAATTCAGTGGAACTTGTATGAACTGTTAAAGATTTTGCTTACACATATTCCAGTTTAGTCGTTTAAGATATTCCAGTGCTTGTACAAATTGGTAGAAGATTTACTTTCTGTTTACCTAGCTTTTTTGAAATTTTTTATATCAAAATTTGGTCGTAGTCACTTGGCTTTTAAATGTATAATATTCAGAAAGAGCGAGCACATCAATGATGGAATATTTTGGAAGCTGAACTTTACTTCTTTAATATAGTTTTACTCCCATTGCTAAACAGATGTCATTTTCAGTGATGTTAACAATAGGCAGCAGTCTTTTGATAAGACTTTTGCACTTCCCATTTTCATCAACAAATTTTTTGAACCAACGGATATGTCCTCAGAACAGTTCTTCACCCGCTGGAAGCAACTTTCTCAGTATGTCACATATTTTATCATTCCATCGTATCTATTTCCTCTTTTATTGGCTGCATTGTCAAAAAAATAGAAAAAGCAAAAGCAGGCATTATTTATAGATCAACTCAAGAGAATCAAAAAATATTTCCTGCAAAATTACCGATAGATCGAGAACAAATCAGAACAAAGGTAAATAAGCAGCATTATTCGGTTGTTTTTTGGTCGTTTAATTTCTTAAAATTTCGATTTTTTAATGATGCTTAAATTATCGTCTCCTTGAGTCTCTGCAAAATGTGCTGCCTGGATTACTGATTCTTTTTACTTAAGAAAGATTTGAAATTTAGTTCACTTAAATTTCGAAGTTCTCTTTAGAGGAGATTCTTACAAAAGTAAAACTCATTAAAGAATAAAAAATAAAGCGAAAAAATTCATTAAAGAATAAAAATTAAAACGTAAGCTGCTTGTTGCTTTTGGAAATTTCCAAACTGCATTTTTGACTAAGGTAATGACAATTAGTTTTTGAAGCTAAGTGGTTTTGGACCTCGACTACTACAAGAAGTAGATCCAAATCCGGAAAATTATGTTTGTGCTGGAATAGTCAATACAAAAATGCAGCAGATCGGTACCCTTATTCGTTTGGAGCCGAATAAACAAGCAAAGGTTATTTGATTATTTGCTCTTTTAATTTCGATACAGTGTTGGCTGCGAAGCGACGTAGCATTTATGTTTAACCACTTTTAATATAAAATTTTAGTCCTGCTAGAATTTATTTTTACGGTATTTTCTTTTGGTCATACTGATGCATGCTATATGTTATCTTTCACCAGGCTATTGACAGTCTGTTTGAATCATACCTCATATATGCTTAAAGTAACAGCCATATAACAAACAGTTGTTACGATTTATAAATAGGCATTAAAAGTGGACGAGAATGTTTTGCGTCATTGTTCGAATTATCATGTTATTGCGTCCAAACATCTTTTTTTTTGCATGACCTAACAATTTTAGATTAGAATCTAAGACTAGGTATTGTTCTAACTAACAAAATCTAAGTAGCGGAATCAGATAACTGTAAAACAGAGAAAGAAATGATGAAAAGGAGAAAAGTTCGTACAAGGGAGGAGAGAAAGAAGGTATCCAGTCGAGGTTTTGGGTCTCTTTTACTGCTGAGATCATATAAATTTAATGCAGGACCTAAGAATTAGTGAGGTAATATCTCTCATCACTATTTCGTCATTGGAATATTTACAGATGTATCGACTGACTGTGCGAAGTTCGCGTGATACTGTTGCAAGTCACTTGTGTGATATACTGTCGCAGCAGTTTTGATTTTGTTTGATGATTGTTGACTTGAGCTAACCTCACTGTTTATTTGAATTCGGCCTATATTCGTATGATATCGATGGAGACAGTAGAACTGAAAGATTATTAACAAAAGATTTCTTTGTCGTGTGCTTTTTGATTTTCATACATTCATTCATTTCATTCATATGCGCACATACCCTCACATTAGAAATACGTAATAGTAAATATTTAGTCATATGGTATTGGTAGTAACGTAAGTGCTATGATGAAAGGAAATTTTAAGATTGTATGTGGGTGTTATCCATGCTGTTATTAATAAGCTTGCAGTATTGTAAGCATAGTACTGTTCCCTGTTTATTTTTTGCTGATTTTTTTTTATAAATTAGTTCCGTTGTATAAGAAATTATCGGAAATTTATTTATCTCTTTTTTAGCTTTTCCATATTCCAGAGCGATTATGAAGGGTTATTTTTCTTTTATATTTTACTTCTTTATCAGTCATTGTTCTGATTATTTTGAACAAATAATTCAAATTAACTTTTGGAATTCAGAAACTCTTGTTTTAAAGGATTGGTTGCATTTTTTGCGAAGTTATAGACGGTGATATTTGAACTAAAAATACTTTATTATTTTATGGTGTATGTTTTAAAATGTTAGAAAGTTTCTGCCAATGTTCGGGGGAAAAATACGAGATGAACATTCTTGATAGAAGTCAAATGCAAAATGTTTGTAGAACCGAACAATAGCAATTTGAAGATAATAATGGCAAAAGTATGCAAAGTATGCACAAAGATCTATATCAGTCGAGGATCATCTCTGGTGGGGGTTTGTATGAATTATGTTTTGACTTGTGGTTATCCGTTGCAAGTGATGATTAGCATGTTGTATTAATTCCTATTTTAGTTGCTTATTGTTTATCCAATGTTTAAATTATTTAAGTCAAAATTTCTTTAATTTTCATATTCTGTCAGATTTATTATGCAGTGTTACATTTTCTACTGTAGGAAAAAAGTGCATTTTTTTTTCAAAAATGTTATATACTCCTTGTGATAATTAAAGATGGAACTGTGTGATCATTCCTTATAATGTGAATATTACTCTTTTCTCTTTTGTATGACAATTTCGTTACCAAATGTGGTTCATTTTGAAGCTGACTAATTTATTTTCGCCGACCGCAAATGTATCCCAGATATGCTTAACAATTAAATCATTAATTAATTTTTGACTTTTCATACAGTTTGACAAGATTTTTAATGATGCGTGTAGTGATAATTCAGACTGGATCAATTATTCATGGACTTTTTGGATGTAATTGAACACATTCGAATCTCTTTTCCTTTCTCTAACATATACTACTAAAAGTCACTTCATTTATTATTATAGCTGAGTCTAATTTATTTTACTGAATAAACTATCTGCGGTGATTATGTGTTATGGGCTAACATTGTTAGTAAGTATTCATATACCATAATGGGGGATTACCTATCCTTCGGTATATGGTTCATCCTACCACTCGTATTACTTAATCCCATTTGCACGCAATAGAAGTATGTATCGCATATATGTAAAGATCATTTGAAATGGAATTTTTCAAACGCCGTAAATTTGTATATTGATTTTACTCAGGATGAATTTAAGGCGGGAAGGTTTTTAAAAAGTTGTGCTTAACAGACCGTCTCATTCGAAAATTGGTAATATAAAGGTTCGGAGGGTATGGATGGAAACTTCGATTATATCTGTACGATTTGTTAACTAATTATAAGAAAAGGTTGCAAGGATTTGTTGTGTTTTTTGGATTATTTCGAGTTCTTTTTCTCTTGATGAAGGTGGAGATTCAGTAAACACAAATTCAAATTTAATTGTTCAAGGTGTCGTCCGAAACTAGATTTCAAATGGTGGCACACAGATTTAGCTGCGTTATGGGAGTAACCAATTTTAAATCATCTTTTAATTTCAATCAATGATATTGGTCGTATAATTTGAACTAAATTTGCTTAGCTGTCTCGTTATTATGAGTATTTGCCATTCATCTTTTCATCCAGGATTCATCGCATTTATTCACATTTGCCCAAAAAAACAACAATGTATATTGTTATTTAGAAGGTTTCGAGAAAAAATTTTTGATAAGAAGTGATGAAAAAGTGATAAGAATAGGTAGGTAGTAGACTGTTTGGAATTTTTTTTTCTAAATCAGCTTTGTTGAAATTGAATTTAGGTTTAGCATGTTATCTTGTTTCCTGAAATGCTGTAATTTTGACGATCATATCATTTCGTCAATTCTCTTTTATTGTGAGAAAGAGGAGAGAGGAGAAAAAAATGTGTATACGAATCGAATGCTTTTACGTTTGTAGCCTTTAGAACCACGGCTTATTGTATTTTATAAATGTATTAAAATGATCATTGATTGATTAAATCATTTTTCGTTGCATTTCAGTGTTGTTTGTATGGAAATTTAATAATTTAACTGACTAATTTCGACAAGCATTTTATTAACGATGAATTCGATTATGCCATTAATTGTATCAGTTCATTGTGGTAATCGTAGTCCTATTAATCAAAGTGATTTTTCCACTAATTCATTATCGGTGTCCAGGATAGCAGGGCGAGATTCAGGTAAATTTCTCTTAAAAATTGCCGACCTATCAAAATTTTTTTAATAAAAGTTTATCAAAAGTAGAATTGAAAAAAAAAGAAGAATACAGTATATTGTTCAGATTCGGATGCAGATATCCGCTACGAATTAGAGGGCATCTTTTCGAAAATGAATCCAATCAGCAAGTTTGGCAGAAAAAATATAAAGGTAGAAATTTCTTTATATTTATTTGCATGATTTTTGACTTTGAAATATGCTTTCAATTTTATTTTTTCAATTAAATTCAGGAAGGAAGCTTGGAACGAAAACCACTGCTCTCGGGACGAATTCAAACATTAACAGGTGAAGAAAGTGGATCACCCAGTGATCGACAAAATCGTTTATCAAGTTCGGATGACGAGGATATGAAATATTGTATGTTTTTATATATATATATATATAATTATTATCTTTATGCTTATATGGTTTTGATGCAATCATTTCTTCAAATATCTGCAGATAGAGAACATTTTAAAAGAGATGAAATTAATTTGGATTTCACATATATTTTTAAATATTGAGGTCGAAGGTTGAAATGCTACCTTATAAAATTGAGAAGTTACTGACAGCATGTAAGAACTGGACGTGAGTGGAACGAGGTTGAGTGGATGTACTCAACTCATTCTATTTGATTCCAATAAATTATTTCTACGAAGTATCGTGGATGATGGAACGATATATGATTTGTCAAAATTTCAGATAATGAAAATTATGGTTCAGTTGGGGATGCTGAATTTGCAAATATTATTGGTGATGCCATTCATGCGATACGTGAAGGGGTTTATCCTGAACGAATTCGGCAAGGATCGTCTGGGTCATATTTCGTGAAGAACTGTGAAGGAGTATGTGATTTATAATTTCTCCTTCAGCTATTCAAATATTTCGCAATTATTTGGTTCTTTAAAATAATTCGTGGTTTTTTCGTGCTAAATACCATTTTTAAAAAGCAGCATAATTTTCTTTTTCTTTAGGATATTTCAGTAAAAAAACGATTCAGTTTTCATGAAATATTTCCCGTTTTTATAGGAAACCATAGGTGTTTTCAAGCCTAAAAATGAGGAACCATATGGTCAACTCAATCCAAGATGGATGAAATGGATTCATCGTATTTTCTTCCCATGTTGTTTCGGGCGTTCCTGTCTTTTACCCAATCAGGTATGGTTTAAAAAATTACCCTTTTTTTGTGCTGTAAAGTTTGTACTTTCATTATCACATTGATGTAATAGTATTTATTGTCAAAGGCGAAAAAAAGCAATGGTCGAGATAGCCTGAGTTTTCAGATCTTTTTGACACATTATTGCAGATCATTTTCCTGTTGTTTGAGAAGTTCAGTCTTCTGGAGTACTTGTGAATTTTTTTTTCATAAATTTGAATTTCATTATCGAATTCACCTTCCTTTTTTCTGATACATAATATTTAATTAGCTTTTTTTTCCCACTTTTCATGTTTTTTTTTCTATCCATTCTGTATAATAATCAAGTCCTAATTACTTTCCTTTTAAATTTTTTCTAAAATTTCCTATAACGTATATCAGCTGTTAATCGCTCTTTCTTTATTTTCAACAAACTTTTATTTTATCAATATCATATGCAGCGAATAGATTGAAGTAAGTAAGTCAAAGGATTATAGCCAAGACTTTTTATAATAATGTTTATTTGTCCATATATGATATGTAATTGCTGGACTCTTCTGGCTATTAGACTCTTTCTTTAAGAAAAAACTTTTCTTGTTTTACCTCATTTTTCTTCATCAGTTCAGTTTTACGTATTTCATAGCATCAACGACGTAGTCGAAAAAAAAAAATGAAAACATTATTTATTTTGGTAGAATGGGATCACTCACTACAGGCAAGATTGATATTTGGAAAATAAAAAATGAAATATAATGAATGAAGCGATATAATATAAGATTTGGCAGCTGATATAATATAAAAATTATGAATGATGCGTTGAAGCTGTAAAACAAAAATGAAAATGAAAAACTGTCATGTAGAGGCTTTTGTTTTCTTTTTTGACGAAAGAAAAATATGTGCAGGAGAAGAAAGAAGTCCCATCCTAGACATGAATAATATTGAACGGTAACACATATTGCGATGAATGAGAAAAAAAGTTTATAAAATTTTGAATCATTTCCGCTTGGAAGTGGCAGTACGAATTAGGAATATGTTTCATTCTTACATACATCTTACATGAAAATTATATTGTACAGCTGTTTTAATTGATGTTAACTTTTTTTCCTATCTTCCAAGCAAAAATATTGTGATTGTATAATAACGACGATTACACATAGTATGACTAAATTACATGGAGAAAAATTTTACATTCAAAGAAATTAAATAGACAAAAGAATTGGATCGAAAACTTTCGATCCAATTTTTTATATTTAATATTATTTTTTCCTTTTTGTTGAAAAGCCATTTAACTAGGAAATGAGTTAAAAAATTCGTTAGCACACCGTGCCAGCAACAAATATAATCACACAAGATAACAAAGGTTAAATTCGAAGAAAATTTTTGCCATATTTGACACTGATTGCTAGCATTTGTTGTAGCAGTAGTAGTAGTAGCAACAGCATTAATGGCGTAATAACAGTAATAGTAGTAGTAGCAGTATTAGTGGCAGTAACATTACTCTTCCAATGTTTCGCTTGCATTTTTAATAATATTCTGCGAAAGTTGTAAGTATTGTTAATAGTAATTATTTTTGTTATTCTTGAGATTTTTGAGACGGAGTACTTATCTCTGAAACAAAATAAAGAAGGAACTATTCTTGAATCAATAATTCAATAATACAACCCGGGCAGTACTCTTTTTTTGAAATAAAAAATATTTCAATTTTAATCGACTTTATTTGCAACATTATCTTCCAGTCTGCTGCTTTTCATTACGATAACTGTCTTTGTTCGCCTTTCTAAATAATGAAAAGAAATACCGAGAATGATTGAATAATCTTACTAGGAAATGGAGTTAAAAAAGTAATTTAGTGAAGTGGTTGAAATTTCTTTTTTAGTTTAGAAGCTAGTGTTTGACTGCGTTCGGCATACAACAATTTCAGCAATCCTCAGGAGAAATACTATTTTAAACATTACGGGATCCTTGATATGAATGTTCTTGAAATATAGCAAAGTTTTCCCCGCTCTAGTTTCTTAAGAAATAACAAGAAAGGAAAAGAATAATACCTTCAATTTCCTTTGAAGGTTCTAGAGTTTCAAGCTTGATTTTATCTGAAGTTGTACTTTCCACCATTGACGGATGAGATGTTGAAACGTATGATTCACGTTGTGTGTCTGGAAAATTTTTTTGTTTAAACTAATTCAGATTTCAAATCTTACCTAATAAGAAACTGAAATTGACCTTGGTATTGTGTTGGTGTAGAAGTTCCAAGAGGTGGTGTAAGTGGATTGGAAACAAATGTTGATCGTACATATCTTCTGAAATAATCCACAAATTTATTATAAAATTTTCAATTTCCTAGAAAAAAAGGTGTAGATAAATCACGATATGAATAATTAATGGAAAATACTTACGTTGTTCCAGTCATATAATCGTCTACTAAATGTGGTAATACACCAGCACTATGAATGCCAGTATTTCTTAATCCTAGATAGCCACCACCAAGTCTACCAATATCACCGGCTAAACTTCGATCTACATAATCACGACGACGTCTCCTTTCATTATCCAATTGTTCCCTCATAATACTAAGTTGATTTTCCAATTGTTTGATACGATTTTGTTGCGTACGTTCACGATTTTCAATTATTCGTTCAATCTAAAAACATATATTAACTTTATTAGATACTGAATATATAAATACTTAAAAAGCTTTCTTATCGAGTAATTTTTCCAATACGGAATATTTTGGTAGTAGATTTCGGTTGCAGTGATATGTAGAAATTACAATTTTTCAAAATTTGATAGAATTTTAATTATTACTTGAATCTTTTCATTTCTCATCCGTTGCAATTGCTTATCGTGTTCTTCACGTTGCTTATTGCTAATTTCGATAATACGATTACCATTTTCAAATTCCAACTGTGCTATTTGTTTTTGCAGTTGAGCACAATTTTTATAAAGTTCCTACAATAAGTTATTATCGACAACGGTAGATGGGAGATTAAAAAGCTCATATTGTCATATTCTTTGTTTTTGATTATATATGATTAAAATAAGAATGAAAGAGCGGAAGAGATGCAAAAGAAGCGAACTAAGGGATGAGACAGATATTCGCAGAAGATTGAGATCCGTTCGTGGAGAAAAATATTGAATAAGAGCTCGGATGTAAGTAAATTATTTATCATGAACTAACACATTATCAATATGTCTTTAAATATATAATACAAATAAACTGTTATCAGTAAACCTTGTTTTCTCTTTCCATTGCATTCAATGATTTCTCAATAGCTTCACGTTGTAAAGCGGTTTCACGGATTGCTGCATCGGTGCGTCGTTTTTCATTCTCCAGCTATAACTCATTGTTTTCGAAAATATTACCGAAAATGATTGATTTTATTATGTGAATGCTTCTCTTAACTTCAGAACATGGGTAAAATTGCCGGAACTTGATAAATTGATGGATTCATAAAAAATAATCCTGAAATTATAATTCTTCATAAATTTTTAAATTAGTTACCATTTCTATTTTCTTGATAAACGTTGCCCGGTCACGCTTGGTGCTTTCAAGATGGCCCACCAGAGCTCTTTTTTCATTTTCCAGTTGAGTTAATCTTCGATGGATTTCATCAAATTCACGTTGTAATGTTCTTCGTTCATTCTTACAAGTTTCAACCTGTTGTCTAAGGTCATCTTCTGTTGCTCTTTGTGCTGATGTTACCTGTAACTTATTCTCCTTTAACAAAAATGAAAAAGAAAGCATGGCTAGACACTCATATCATTCTTTTGGAATACATTAGGTATTTGGAAAAGAAAAAAAAAGTGGAAAAGTAAAAGAGCAACTAAAGATTAATGGATAAGCATTTATTAGCAAATGGGAACGAACCTTCTCGAGAGCTAGCAGTCTTTCATCTAGACGATTCTTCTCCGCATGAGAATCTTGTAATTGGCGTTGCAATTCGGATGCTCTATTGCTTAGATCACGTGCACGTTGCTTAAAGTCACGAAGTTCGCCTCGTGAGGTCGTTAGTTCATGCTCAAGTTGTTGCTTTTGATTATTGGCATTTGCTAGATCATTTTGTACACCGGTTATCTGAAATTTTCACAAAAACATCGATGGGAAGCGTACTAGAATTAGAGTCAATGAAAAACAAGAAAAGAATTTACTTGATCTCTAAGAATCTGATATTCACTAATGGTTCTTGATTGATAATCTGAAGTTTTCCGAAGTTCTATTTCGACAGTTTCAGCTTTTGAAAGTTCTTTTTTCATTCTCTCCACATCTTCCTTCATATCGGTACACTTTATTTCGCTTAATTGCAACTGTCCGGAAAGTTCTTTTATTCGCTCATTCAGGGACTAAAAATATACAAACTTGTACAAATTAAAAAATAAGGTAATGCTAGATTTGAGAAAAATACAGGATTTGCTTACCTGTTTTTCACTTTCAAGATTAGTTTGTAATAGATTAAGCCGCTGAGTTTCGCCTTCCTTATCACGAAGTTTACTTTCGAGTTGGAAACGATTAGCATCCCATTGTTCTTCACGTCCACGTAGTGTTCGCAAATCGGCTTGTGCAGTTTCCAGATCATTACGTAGATTCTTCAGTTGCTCCTACAAATGATATATTTGTAAATGGCGAAATTTTAACTATCATTTTACGAGTAACTTTAATTACTATGTGTTCAGAATTAATTGCTAACATTGAGATGTCGTAATTGTGCATCTTTTCCACGTGCTTCCAAATCTGCTGCTACCATTTTAGCTTTCAATTGACGTCGTTCTTCATCTCGTTGCTTTAACGCTTCTTCTTGCGAACGTAACAGCTGCTTAGCTGATGCTAACCGTACTTCTAATGCACGTCTTTCTATAAATTAAAGAATTTATTTTCAAAAAACAAAAAAACAGTTTTTGCAATTCGTTACCTTCTTCCACATCGGTTAGATTTTCTTCAATAGTTTTATAGCGCGTTTCATGTTTATGAATCGTTGTGTGAGTGTCACTCGTCTTTTTCTTCAGACGATCAAAAGCCTCACGGTACTCGTTCTGTAACGATCATAATTAATTACTTGCATGGAGATTAATTACTTAATGTATGAATTAATTAATTACGCAATTATTTACTTGTCATAAATATACAGAAAACGTTAATTATTTAAGAATTTGAAGATTGAAATAATTCTTTCTGGTATTTTTTTACGAAAAAAGGAATGATCAACTTTAAAAACACTTACTCGTTCACGCTCTAATCTTTCAATTCGACCAATCAAGGTTTGGAGAGTATTTTCAAGTTGATTAATATCAAGTGTTTCACCGATATTAATAGTTGTTGCTGCTACAAATTATATTAGAATATATTAAACTATAGTTATGTAACTTGAGTGAATTAAATTCAAATATTCATAACTTTATTTGATATTTAAAATAGAGTTAAATATATGTATATATATATTTATCATTATCATGTAACATATTTATTGAATGAAAAAAAATCAACCTCCAGTGCGTCCTCCCGTTGTAGTGTAATCGACTGATGGTGGAAAAGGAATTGAACGTGGTATTTCAGTCTCGATCAATTGATCACGATCAACATCTTCCTGAAACGTTGAAAATTAGCAGTATTAATAATATAGAGTTTGAATCTTTCGTCGTATATTGTCTTTACTTTTTAAAAATGAATATAGGAAATTTTATTACTGCATTATCTATCCAACTATATGATTACCTTCACTTTATGTAGTGTTATCGCATGCGTAGTCACAGAATAGAAACGTTTAAGTGAATCAGCCATTATGTCTCTTTCATTCTCCACTTTATTATAATCATGTTGAAGTGATATCAAGCGTTGTTCCGTGTTTTCAAATCGTGACTAAAATATTATAACATATTTAAAACATATTTATAAATGTAACATACGTAACGTAACGTAAGTACAAATCTAAGCATAGGATGTTATTTATTTCAATATCAAACAAAACAAATGACTTTTTTTTAACCTTTAGTTCAACTAATTCGTATTTTCTCGATTCCAACTCTTGCAAAGCATTAAGTCGACCATCTTCCGCAGCTCGATGAGCATTCGCTAAATCTTCCAAAGATGACTGATATTCATCCGTTCGGCGTACCATTTGATCTTTACCAAATTGTAACTCTTGTTGCAGTTTGGTAACTGCGGAGCGTAAAGCATTACATTCTGTTTCAGCAGCAACATGCTAAAAAAAAAGACAATATATTTAATATAATTAAAGCTTTTGGAATAGTTATTGTTGCAATTTGTCGAGTGTGAAGAAATTGTAGAATTGACATACTTTATCTGAGGTTTCTCGAAAATTCTGACGCATTTTGTTCATTTTGACATCGAATGATTGTACCAATTGGGTAAGATGATCGAATTGCTTCATCTTATCACGATAAATATTTTGCAATCGTTCTCGCTGAAATTTGATTTCATAAGTTTTGCTTTTTTTTGCAACACATTTAGGAATTATACATGAATTTGTCCATGGATTTACAACCCAAATGGAAGAACATACTTCTGTTTTAAGATGATCGAGTGTATTCTTTTGTTCCTTGATTGTCACTTCGTACTGTTGAATTTTATTTCTGAGACGTTCAAGCTCAGATTCTTGGTTTACATTTGTGCTCTGCAATTTGAAAATCTGTTGTTTTACTTTTGCTTATTTAGTTATTTAGTGAATTTTAAAATATTTCAATTTTATTAGACATCCATTTGCACAATTTTTTGCAGATTTATTAGTGTAGCGCAAATTACAAAAGTTATCGGTTACCTTAAGTAGATCATATTCTCTTTGTAGAATTTCTAGCTCATTCCATGTCTTGGCATGTTCACTTTGTAATGTAGAATATTGATCCTCCACGGAACGTAATCGACCTAATGCACTTTCCAAATCTGATTCACGAGTTACAGCAGCAGATTTCAAATCTGATACCTCTTCCTCAAGACGTCGAATTTGCGTATTCACTATAATCATGTAAACTTTGTTTATTTATTTTTTAAAAATTGTAGAAAAAGTGAAAGTTTTACTTCAATATAAAATACTTACAATCTCGTATTTTGCCATTCTGACTATTGACGGTTTTATTCAATGAATCAGATCGTTCATTAGCTGCCATAAGTTGTGCTTTCAGCGCATTATTTGTAGTTTCAACTGATTTAAGCTCAGATCGTACCGAATACACTTCAGTCTTCCATTTTTGTGTTTCCTGAGAAGGAAAGAAAGAAACAAAAATTTCCTCAAATGAAATGAAACTTTTTTGGTGCTAAATGTATGAAGAAATATGTTTACATTTTCAGAGTCTTGTCTTTCATCTTCTAAATCATCTTTGAGTTTCTGTATTTGTTCTAATGTTTCTTCACATCTTTCCTTCAGCTCTTCTTTCTCACGCTCCAATTGATTTTCACGATTTTGTGCTTCAACAAGCTTTCTCTCAGCTTCGGCAAGTTTGTTACGAAGCTCATCTTCAACAAGCTTAATCGATTCCAGATTCTAAAATTTATCTTCATTTTATATCAAGAGATCGATCACTGAGATCACGGTAGTATGAGAGAATATAGGAGAATGTTATGAATTATTACAATTACTTTCATTTTTTTATTTCTTTATACTCTAAAGAAACAGATGATTACTTTATTGTATTGCTCTTTCTCATCATCGAGATCATTCTGATGTTTATCATGAAGTTGTGAAATTTCGCCCCTCAATCGATCAATTTCTTCTTGATGTTTACGTTTCAATTCCATTATCTCCGATTCTTGTCGTTCAATTTCACGATTTTTTTGCGTAATTTGATCTTCTAAGTCGCGAATCTTATGCTCAAGCTCATCCTAAATTTGACTTTTTATGTAGGCAGGTTATTTTTGTTCGGAATTCCAGAATGTGAGGATATATTTATGAAATTAAACTGATCAAACCTTTTCACTGAGAAGTTTATCAAGCTCAAATTTCCACTTATCGTTCACTTCTTTGATTCGAATTTCATAGATTTCAGTATCATAAATTGTAGGACCACCTGCACCACCTACACCACCTACACCACCTGCACCACCTCCTGCACTGAGTAAAATTTTATCTGAAACGTAATATTTCTTGCTAGTTTCTAGGAATAAGGAGGAAATTTTTTTGCTTCTTTTGCTAATTAAACCAAATATACCTGTATCTTCTGGTTCATCTTTGCGTATACCCCGAAGGTTATTTTCACTTTCTCGCTCTAATCGTTTGATTTTTTCTACAAAATTATAAAGTAAAATAAAAATACTTCCAAATTATTTCTCTGTAAGAAAAATTTAAATAATTTCAAAATGGCTAAATAAACATTTATTTTCATTTCAACATATATGTAGGAAAAGAAATGGAGGATTTACCTTGAAGTTCCTCGATATCCGCTTTTGTTTCTTCAAGTTCTTTCTGTAGAAGATGAGCACGATTTGTTTCTTTCGTTAAAGCATCACGTGTCTTTTCTTCCTGTTCGATAATTGTTCGATTTTCTACTCTTAGCTTCTCAATTTCCTGTTCAAGCTTCCGAATTTGTTCTTTCCACATTTCGATATCACTTTCAGCTTTAAGTTTTTGGCTGAAAAAAAAGATTGATGATTAAATCATTTATTACTGGAATTTAAAAATTTTTTGTAATCAAAATTAAAGCAATCATGTTTTTTTCTTTCTTTCTTTTATTCTTATAACACAAACTTGATAGCATCCTGTTTTTCTCTTTGAAGACGACTGTTTAATTCGTTCATTCTAACAGTTTCTTTTTGGCTTGTAATTAAATCATTATCGACAGCGGTTATTTTAGCTTGACCACTTTTAATTTGTGTATCAAGCTCATCATTGTGTCGGCGTAGAATACTTATTTGATTCTCATAATCCGTAATTTGAAGTTTGAATTTTTCAATTTCTTCTGTTGATCCTGTAAATTTTTTTACTTAGACTAATATACAATTTTCAAATTTTAAAATATTAAAATATATTAATTCAAAATTTCACTTACGACTTTTTGTTTTTTCTGTTTCTTCTCGTGCTGCTTTTTCATTCTCTAACTGATGCTTCAAATCAAACATTTGTCGTGAAAGCTCATCTTTTTGTTTACTAAAATTAATTTTAATGATTATAAATCAGGTATAATTAATATGTGGGAAAATTCTTTTCTTTTTTTTGCATCATACATATCTGTGAAATCATGAATGATGTAAAGACCAAAAACATGATCACACAATCTTCAACTGTATACAGAAACTTTTCGTACCTACCAAACAGCATCACCCGCAAAACAAAAGTAAGTCTTCAAACAATAAGATGAAATGAAATGGAAGAAAATTGTGGAAAGGTAAAACGGAAAACAAATAGTCTTTCTTTAAAGCAATGTGTGATATGGTTGGAGGTAAAGCGAAATAAAATTATACGAAAGAGAAAAATCTTCGTTCGTTTATTTTTGGTCTTTAATTAAATAAAAGTAACGAATTGACATATGCTAAACTTTTTTAGTTTAATTATATTGTAGAAGTAAATTAACCAGCATTGTAGTGAATTGTTCATTTTAAAATTTACCATCTTTTCTTACAAACTTTTGTTTTTGTGGGGTATGAAAGAAAATTCATATATTTACTTGAATTATAATCTAATTCATTTACCTATGTTCATCTCGTTGTTGTTTGATTTCACGAAGCGTTTGCTCCAATGTTACAGTTGTCTTGCTTGTATTCTCAAATTCGTTATTTAATTTATCAAATTCAGAATTTAATGTATCATAACGTGTCCGTTGTTTATCAAGCTCATTGGTTAATTGACGCTTAATTTCATCGAGATGACGCAATGCAGTATCTTAAATGAAACGATGATTTCTTTTGTTTGAAATTAAGTTTAATTTCTTCAAATAATTTATTAGATTTTTATTCTGTAATATTAAAATATATTCGAAAGGAAATATTTCATAAAAACCTTTTTCTTCCAATTTTCGTAGTGTTATATTGTATTCATTCTCAGTATCACGATATTTATCCCTCATTGTGTTTAGCTCCGTTTTCAATTTCGTATTATCACGCTGAATTGTTTCGATCCGATTTTTTAGTTCATTAATGCTGAAAATAATTCTTCATTAATTACAGTAAATCGTGTGACAAATTGCAGATTACATTCAAATTATAAGGTAAACATTTTCTATTGTTTTTGATACATTTACCGATTCTTATATTCTTCCTCGAATCCAAGATTGATTTCATGTTCTTTGTCACGAGCTTTTCGTTCTTCCTCTACTGTTGCCTTTTGATATTGTCTATAAATACTTTTGTTTTTTATCCTTTCCTTACATAAATTCATATTTAGCTTAAATTCTAAACAGTTAATTTTAAATGTAAACTAACACAATCATAATTAAAATTAGTAAATGAAAATACATAATGGATAGATGCGATAACTGTTGAATTATCATAATGCTAGCAGTAATCATAAGCAAACTGGAATTAAAATTATCACACATCAAGCAATTACTACTATTAAAAGTTTTTTTTTGTTAAATTGATTTAAAATTTAATTGATTTGATAAGTAGATGATAGACTGACTGATGCAACTTATGTATCTCTTCTTCCAGGAATTTTCTAGCCTTTTCAACTGCTGCTTTTTCTAAATCAGCGGCACGTAATCTTTCTTCTAAACGTCTTATTTGACGTTCTGCTTCATCCAAATGTTTAATTCTGAAATTTTTATTTCGCATTAGTATGAAGGGATTTACGAGAACTATAAATCGTTTTTTTTCCATTTGAATTTGTTAAAATTTCATACTGATTTGTTAGGTCACGTTTGCTTTCTGTCAAATGTTTGTCTAAATAACGTCGAGCTTCATCAGCATGTTCGAATTTGTTTACGAATTCTTTGACCTGAATTAATAGGGTGTTAGAAGGAATGATGCAAAATATAACATGTAAGTGGAAACTACAGGGGATTAATGACCGAATTAATTTAAGAGTTGCAAATTTTCTAATTTACCTGGCCTTCAACAATCTTTAGTTTTCTTTCCAGTTGTTGTATTTGGCTATCTTTGTTACGGATGATGTTGCGAACACTGCGTAAGGCTTCCGATGGTGGAAGTGGCATACCACCTAAGCTATTAGTCTTTTTTAATTCTTACTAAATAATTCTGTTGTATTTCTTTCTAAAATTATTTTATTAAAGTTAAAATTTGCATGTTAAGTTATCCGTCTGAAAGTTAACTAATCAAATTTTACGTTCTTATCTTTTCGATACTACTAATTATTACCTGGAGAAAGTGAACGAGTTCTTTTCTCTCTTTCTTGCTCACGAGAAGCATCCTGAGCCAAATCATGTAGTTTGCGAAGCGCAGCCTGTAAGCAAAAGGAGTGCAAAGGTCAAAGTAAATATTAAAAAAAAGTCGAAATTGATTGCAAAAACAGTCAGATTAACCTGATTATCTGAAAGGCGTTCCTTAGTCCGTTGAAGTTCAGCTTCAAGTGCAGCATTCTTACGTTGTGCTTCATCACCTTTAGATTCAAGCTCAATATTTCTTTCAATGCATTCTTCATATCTGCAAACAATAATTTCTGTATATTTTCATTTGATTAAGTTTTAATTTGAAAAAGTTCAAATATTTCATGGCATATTTTTTTTAATCTGAAATGCATTATTTCTTATTCATCTACTTTTTCATAAGTTGATTGTATAGATCTGCATCACCAGCTGTAGCACTTGCAAGTTTTGACTGATCGGTTACTTGTAGTCCCTGTTGACTTACAACTTGACTTTCCCGTATTCGCTTAATTGCTTCAATTAGTACAGTATCCTGACTAATTGTTTCACCTCCTCCACGACTAGTTTCAACTAGTAATGGTTCTTTGATGCCACTATATCCACCCTGTAAATTAAAATGTATTGAAATCTGTTGCATTTAGATATTGTGAATTTAGAGTATCGTCTAATAATTAAATTTTGTTTTATGCAAAAAAAAAGTGCTAATACTTTTTTGACCTTTCTGGAGCATTTTTATAAAGTTTGAAATTTTCGATTACAATTTTTTTTTCTGAAAAATTTCAATTACTATTTTGAAATGATTACCTCAACACCGACAAGATTTAATTGTCTCGTTAAGCCTCCAACATTTCGAATTATTCGAGTGAATTCATTACGCTGATTTTCCAGATCTTGCTCCGTTTGCTCTCTATGTTGAATTAATTGCCTACGAACACGTTGTAACTCAGTCCATAAATCCATCATCTTTTTTTGTTCTTCGCTCAAATACTGGGCAAGATTCTGTAACATATTTTATATATTAGATTCTTTCCTAAATTTAATTAAATAGAGATAAAGAATGATTAACATTTATTCTAAAATTTTATAAAATTCATACCCTTTCTCGAGTTTTATAGACACGTTCATTTTCTCGTATATTTGTTTCAAATTGTTGACGAAGACGTTCATTTTCATGCAATAATTGATCATTTTGGATACGTTCTTGTTCCAGTTGTATCCGATAATCATCAGCTCTTTAAATTACCTTTCATTTTAATCCTTTTTTTTATAATTTTTTCTTCCAAATAATTATTTCTAATCAAATCAGTTATTTTTAAGCGAAAAATTTAGGTATAAATTTTAAATTGCAAATTTACATAAATTTATATTTGACAAATAAAATTTCTATTTATTACCTTCTACGTTCTTCGTCTAATTTGGCCAAAAAATGATACTCATTATCATCTAAACCCTTTTTAGGACTCCATAATATTTCTTCCTTGTATTTTGTATCGGAGTATACAGCTGAATCAATCAATGTGAATGATGATGGTTCATCTGATCGATGTATTGGCATTCTCCTTTCAAGATCAGCAATATGACGGCGATACTCTTGTACCTTAAATTCAGGGAATTATTTATATCTTGGGATATGTTTAGCTATAGATTACTAATAATTAATTGGTGATTTTTGAATTTTGCAATTTTTCTTCCTTATTTGTAAACATTGAGTAGATTGTGATTACAATAGGTAAACCTTATGCTGTAAAGCTGATATGAGATCGGAATATTCTTTTTGATGCTCGACATTAGCATCAATACGTTGACGATATTTGTTGAGATCCTCCTGAGTACGATCAAGTCGGGCAGCAGAAACACCCTTTCCATAGCTATCTATTTCAAGCATTAGATCGCTATCGAATGAATCCGAAACGTGATACCCGTTTTCACCATTGGTATCCCTGTATTCATGCCGGAAATCGGAAGGCATATTAGATTTCCCCTATTTATGAAAAGATAGCTAACCATTACTTTCACGTTTGCTTATTATATATATATATATAAGTTTATATTATCCTGATCGAGCAATGTATTCTTTTTGATAATTCTGGAATAAGTAGCAATAAAAAGTTAAAAAAAAATTAATTACCCAGAATTATCTTTAAAATTTGCTTTTTACCGATTACCTTTTCAGCATTTGCAGTTTTCCAATTTTGGAAAGAAATCATTAATGCTAATGAAACTTCTTTTTATGAGTTTATAATTCAAAGCTTCCTTTTCTTTTCTAATAATTCAACTTTATCGATATTTAAATGATTTAATTTTTCCTTTTTTTTTTATTCTCAAATAATTCGAATTTTTGATAATGTATTTCAAAATATGCTGTAAACAATTCTTTCCAAATTTTCATCCGGAATAATATATCCGTTTCGTTTAAATAAAATTCCGTTTTTTTCATCATTCAAGGAGCTAGTAGTTGTGAATAAAATTTTTCGGAATTTCTGTCAAAATTTATGAAATTAATTTCATTAGGGGAAAAGGAAAAAGTTATTATCAATTCGACTTCATTTCTTCAATTTTATTATATCATTACTTTTACTATTTCTTTTTTTTCGTTTGACGTTTTTCCTATTTTCACGATTTTAATGCGGGATTTTTTTTGGAATAATAAATCGGCTACTATATTAAATTTCAAATATACTTTTAGCTCGTAATTTCAATCTTTCCCATATTTCAATGATTTGTGTATTTTAGTACTTAGAATGAAGCATGATTAATGTAAAAGATATTCGTTTTGAAATTACATGATACCGAACGGTATGAATTGGATGGGTAGCAGGGAAAAGGAAAAGAGTTTTAATCTGTTTATTTAAGTAATCTATTAAAGACATTTCGTTCTTATTGTTTACAGATGCACCTTTTCCTGAAATTTTATTACACGTGGAGTGTTTAGTACCAAGGATTAGCTATTCTTGATTATGTTAATTCATATTTGAGCCTACGAATAAATCTAATCCCAATTTTTTGTCACCTATCGATGACATATTATTCATTGTGATTGTTCAAGAATTAGAAATATTTTCTTGCATTTATTTTTCTCTTCTAATTTTTGGAAGTTTATTGGACAAAATATCTTTAGTTGTTTTTTTCTTTCATCAGCTTAGAAATTCAAATTTAAATTTCCATATTTTTTCAAGCGGTAATTATTGATTATAACCATTATTAATAATAATTGGTAGTAAATTAATTTATTTGCTAGTGGAACTTACCAATAAAATTCCCCATAATTCGAGCGAGATCCGGGACTATCCGGTATGCGAGTGATCAATTCAGTAGGTTGACTGACACCATTTACATCAGTACCCTCATCCATTTTTGTTATAACAGCTAGAAATTTTTATAATTTTTAGGAAATTTTCATCTCTTTAAGAAAATTCCAATGAAAAGATCAAAAATTTTCGTTATTGTTTAAAAATAAATTTTAATTATGAAAGTTATAGAAAAACAGATTAGCAGTTGTTAAAAATAGCGATGAAGATAGGCAAATGTTGGCTTTGAAAATAAGCTAGAAGTTATTCTGAAATACGATAATGCAGTTTATGCATTCATTATATGTAAATTCTCTTCGGATATTCCAATTTTTTAAACTGAAGGAAAAAAATTACAAAAATTTTGATTTGTTCATAAATCATTCAAATGTTAGAACATACAACAATAATACATTTATAAGTACCAGCCTCTTTTTTTTAAAAGACTTTCTTCTATTATCTTAATCTTTTAAAGACTAATTTCATTGCTTTGTCTAAAAAGAAAAATGTAGGGGAAAATTCTGATAATCAATGTAATTTAAAAATAACACTTCAATTGTTATTTTATCTAATTATTTTAAATACTTCATGCGATGGTTGCGAACTGTTCGTTTTTCTTCTAAATGAGAAATGGTGTATAAATAAAGCTAACAGGTATGACAGGTAGAAGATGCATGATTGACCACGAGTGGGGTCGTCACTCATGCAAAAATTACTCACCCGATTCTTCACGTAACAACCTCCCTTTTTTCTGTGCTTCAAAAACTTCCTCTTGTTCACTTGGTGTAAGTGCACGAAATTTCACTTGTGATGTTAGAGTTGTCCACTGGCCAGGTCGTAAGATTTCTGTTCGTGAGCTACTTCGTGAATTGCTGCGGCTTCTTAAATATGGGCTATCCCGTGTAGGGCTGCCACCATAGGTTCGAAATGTTTCTGGACACGATGCTGAACCTTGACTGTTTCGACCAGTTTCCAATTCACTACGATGATCGTCAACTGATGAATTAGACCTTTGCGGCAAGTCCTCCTGCCCGAATACAACGACACGTTGATTTCTAACGTTTGCACTACCACTGCAGGTAAAGAGCATGAACCTGCTCGGCTTGCATTATCACTTTATTTTGGCGAGGTCACTTCCATCCTGTTGTCGTCCACTATTTAAACCTGCTTATGTTCTCCATTTTATATTTCCTTTCATAGTGTATTAAATTTCGATCAGACTAATCCCGTAATGTAAACTTTACGAAAAAAGGCATGCGTATCAAAGTCTTGATGTATGACAGAAGAAATTCAAACGTTTGGAATGATTTAATAGTAGGAGAAATATAAGTAATTATTTATACATATATATAGCAATTGATGGATACGTGAATTTTAGAGAAGATGCATCAGCTATAAACGTGATAAATGCATACACTAGATTGAACGATTCACAGACAGGATAAATTCAAGAGTGAGATAAAGATGGGAATGGCATAGCTATTGCTCCTACTTGCTGATTGCTTAAAGTGTTCGCTATTTGAGATAATTTCCTTAGTTTCGTCAACCATATACATTTAAACCTTATCTTTTTTTTTTTTTGCTAGACCTTACAATCAATATGAAGGATAGTATGTAGCAGAAGCTGGATTGGATATAGCCAGAACGGTGTACGATAAGTATACATCCTTTTTCTGGGCCTATATGAAAGCTGTTAGCTACACTTTTTTTGTTGTAAGATATACCTCTAACAAACCCAATTTTCAATACTCCTGGAATTAAATAAATATATATATATATATTTATTTATATAGGAAAATCTGTTGGCAAAGAGTTATTGCGTTTAAATTAAATATTCGTCAGTGTCGTTGATTTAATTACGTATACGTCAGTATTGTTGAGTTATGTGCCTAAATGGAAATTCGTTTCGTTATAAACTAAAGGAATAAATTGGAAGGAAAAAGAAGCAAATCTTCAGTAGTCGTTTTTTTCCTTTCATATGCCGCATATTATTCTATCCGATATGAACAGTAAGTAGTATTGTTGTCCCGCAGTTCTCACCTTACACGTAACAATATTTTTCTATACGTATTTGTTTTCGGATAACAAAATGGCGTTTCCAAATGTTGCTAGTAGGATTAATTAATAGTGACAGTAGTGGTATATTAGTAGTAATAGTAATAATGATAATAATAATTGGAAATGGTAAAAGAAAAGAAGTCAACAAATATACACAAAAATATTATACTTGAATTTATGCATGTATCACTGATGATATTTTCGTGGGAGTACGCTGTATTTTAACTACAAGTAAACAAAAACAAAAAACTGGTGATACAAAAATTTAAAAAAAAATCTTGAATATATAATAGAAGGAAATTGAATGATTTGCCCTATGAATGAGCAATTCTAAATGATTAGTTATCATATAACACTTCAACGACAAACATGTTTAGTAAACACGTTTTCAACGGTAACATGTTTGGCAAACACGTTTACCGTTGAAGCATCATATGATAGCTAATCATTTAGAATTGTTCATTCATAGAGGAAATTTTTCACTTTTCCTCTGTTATTATTTCCCTAACGAAACATTTTCTAGTATTAGTCAACATCATTCGGATTTCCGTCAAAGATTATTCAGTGAAAGTTGTCGTAAAAATTATTTGTTATTTGTTATTCCAATTCATATATATTTATTAAGAGACAATAGGACAAGTTAGTAAGGAAAATATTGTTACGTGTAGGATAAGAAATGTGAGGTATTAATCGAAAAGAAGAATATGCGGAACAGTAGTAGTAATCGTAGTAAGGATGAAGCTAGTGATAATAGTAGTACGAAGTATTAAAGTGCGTCAAGAGCCTAGGATATAAATCGGTGTATGTTGTGAGAAGGACGACGCATCATGGAGAGACGAAAGGAAGGATTTCAAGAGTTGATCGATTTTTTATTTCTGCAAATTGGGTGAAAAGGGAAATTTAGCAAGCAGCTAGCAAGAAAAGAGCAAACTAAATAAGGGACTTTGACAGTATTGATCAGATAATTTTTGCACTTATAGTAAAACAAAAAGATGCTATTATTTTCTTTTAAATAAAACGAAAACGAGACAGTAAAGTTAAAATAGGTAAAGGTATAATTCCTTCTCTCATTTTATCTTTTCCATCTCAACGATATGCTTTATATGAAGTTGACAGTCATATAAAGCTGACAGTCCTTTTAGAAATTCAATCCTTTTTAATGAGCTAAAATTGTATAAATTACGTGAAATTTAATTTCACTTATTTTTGATAGAAAAAAAAATAACTTTAAAATGAAAAGTTTTATAGTGGAAGGAAAATTTTGAATGACAGCATTTAGCATTATGCTAAACAATAATATAATAATTAACAAAGTAATCGTAGAAAATGAGCGTGTGTGTGAGAGAGAGAGAGAGAGAGAAAATATTTAATTGGCTATTTGACATAGAATATCAAACTTGCTTAATTATGTTCTATAATTTTGAGAATATGCTTATATAAATGATATGCTTTGTAAGCGATCAATTTAATAATAGTGATATTAATTAATGTTAATGATTATAATGATATATGATTAGAGAATATGTTTGCTTCTGTGAACTATTATTATTTTCATTAAAATGGTGACCTTATTTTCTTATAACGAGAAAAAAGTATTTTAATTTTTTAATAATTCCTTATTGTAATAATACAATTTCATTTATCTAATTTGGTTGTCTCGAATGAAATGATCTCACTACTGTTGATGGACGTTGTCAAAAGGTGTCAATGAATAGTCTTCTTTATTTATTTATTTTTGATAATTCAATTCATTTTTAAATTATTTAAAACAAAAGAAGGCAGAAAGAAAATTGGATATAGGTGATTTATTATCTTTTTCATTCACCTTTTTTTGAAAAGAAAATTATCTATCGTTTGTATAATTCGTTTATACTTAGAAAATTACACTGTAGAGAAAAATCTAAATTATTTTGAATAAATAAATGAAAACCTTTGAAAGTGGTATTGCTAATAAATTTGAATATTAAAAGTTGCTGTTAAACATGCTTAAGAAATTATTAGATTAAATGCTGAAGTGAATAATTTAATGTAATAAGTTAAAAAGGTTATATTTCAGATAAAATTCAAGGTCTTTTTTAAATAGAGGTATAAGTATAGCAATACCGATATGTTCATGATTTGTAAGGTAATATATATATATATATAATTAAGAAAAAAAGTAATTTCCAAAAGATGATTAATTTTTAGATTAAGTAAACGAAATATTAAGGATAGTAGTGTAGGAAGAGAAAAAAAGAAGTATAATAGTAGTAAGGAATTTTTCAAATATTAGTTAAACAATAAAAAGTAATTTCAATAATTATATAAATTACTTTAGTAAAAACTTTGAATGAATTTATAAAATGATCTGAAATTTATTTGTTCAAATAAAGAGGATATATTGTAGGCAATATGAAAATTATCGTATAATAAATGATTAATTAGAACCTAATTGATATAACCATATAGCTTCAAATATATATTTAGAAATGAAGTAAGCATTAGCATAAATAAAATCGTTGAATTCATTTTATCTCGCAATGGATATATTATATTATACTAATTGAGGTAGCTTAAGAAAAGCAAATTTTCAATTCATTTGAACAAAGCTTTTTTTTTGATGTAAAAAAATATCCGATACGATAATAAATGGCTAGTTCCGATTTATTCGAGAATTTCTAGTACTTTTTGAAGGATGTAAAAATGGACGAATAAGAGGGAGAGAGAGAGAGAGAGAGAGAGTGAAATGATGAGAAAAAAAAATAAAAGTGAATTGAATGATTTTGATTTTGATATTTATACTCGATACTATTACTACTACTACTACTACTACTACTACTACTGCTACTACTTCTACAACTCATTACAATGGACGGAATGGAACGGATCGGAACGGATAACTCTACAAATTATACAAAATCTAAAAAAGCAAAATTATTAATTTTAATTGTTTTTGTTTTTGTTTTTATCTCCCATTATTATTATTATTATCAATGGGATTACGGAGAAATTTTCTCTTGAAAATTTC